TTTCGGTCTAGGGAGCTTTGCTGGCTGAGAGAGAAGATGGGGCTGCCCAGTCTACCAAACTGAATCCTGATTTGTGGACACTTCCTCATCACTGGTGTGTGAGCAGGAGGTAGGAGGACAGGAATTCACCCTCAGAGCCATGAGGCCGTGGGAGAGGACCTGTGGCACTGGTGGGGAACGGGGCAGAAATCAGGGAGCTGAGTGGCAGGGAGGATGCTGTCCTCCTTGGAGCTGGGAGCTGCTTTCTGCCTGGAAACCTCTTTTCCCTCCTTCCATTGCTTTCCACAGAGGAGCCTAGGGGAAGGGCTTGGCTGGCCCTGATGCCTTATTCGCCTCCTTGTTGAGATCCATGGAGTTTCCTCCCCTGGTGTTGGCCTTAGGGGGCAGAGCAGGGAAGGGGAGACTGGCCTGTGGTTTCCCCTCATATCCCAGGCATGCTGGTGTCTTGCCATGGGTCAGAATGGGTTCCATTGGGCCTGAATTTGGGAACTGGAGTTTCTCTGCCTAATACTCTTTCCTGAAGGAGAAGGTTTGGTTTGCACTGTATTTCCCATTAGTCTTGTGATACAGGGAATGTGACCTTACAGTGGCTGGTGTGACTGGAACTCACCCAGGGTCCTGACTCACTGGCTCAAACCCTTGCTGAAGCCTTGCTTGCAGAACTGAAGCCCAAGCCTGGGACAGACCAAAGCCCCCTTCTACATTCCCTGCTTCTCTGAAGTTCATCTCTGTCTCCCTCCTTGCTGGCTTGTGCAAGTGTATTTTTGTGGGTTTTTTTCTAGGACTGATGGGTTACATTTTGCAAGAGAGCTCTGCTCCTCCTGTTTGTGTGCTACACATGCATGTGTACCTGCTTGGTGGAAAGAGCAGCAGTAAATCAGTGCAAGCAGCAGCCTTGCAGCACCATAGATGTGATTACTGTGCATGACAACAGAGGACAGTTTGATATGGTCCGAGCAGGTAACAGGCAGTTTCTTTTTCACACGTTGTAGGTGGAGAAAAGACCACTGAAGCCAAGCTGTGAATTAATGGTGATAGAACCTCGGGCAGCTTCTGACACCAACTGGTGATGGAAGTACTGTTATTAACATGGGTGTTACAAAAGTTGGTTTGCAAGGATTTACAGGGCTGTTTAAATATTAAGCACGTGGCTTGGATGCCTTGTTTGCCTAGTTGGGAGCATTGATCTGAAGATGGAGTGATGCAATGCACAATTATCTGCTGATGTAAAATATTCATTATATTGCAAGTCAAAACTCCATACGACTTGAATATCAGACATAGGACAAACAAGGATTAGGAAACACACCTGGCACCCTGACCTGTTTCTGGTCTCTTTTCTTTCTATGCTTTCTGTGCTGGATCTTTTTCCTTGCTATTTTCAACTTAATTTTCAAAAGAGTCTGTAATTGCAGCCCTACCTGCAACCAAGGCCTCCTCTCCCTGCAGGACTTGCTCTCAGTGGTTTCCTTCTTCTCTTTCTCCTTAATGCCAGCCTTAGTTTGGTTTAGTTTGCAAGACTTGTCCACATGGAGAAGCCTGTTCATTAACAGTCCCCTCCCTCTGAAACTGTATGAAACCTTTACCTACTTGCAGCAGATCTTCTTTGTGCAGTGCTGAGTGTTAAGCTGGTGTTAGGCTTGATGTTCCCTACCTACACATGTTCACGAAATAAGGGATTTTCAGGTGTACTTAGTACCTTAATTTTCTGCTAAATTTAAGGTGCCCTCCCCTGGCAGTGCTCATACCAGGCTGTGACCATGACAAAAACAAAGATGCAGCTTTTATGGCAGGACAGTAGGTCAGAGTTTAAGACTGAAACAAATGTTACATTACGGGATTTTTTAGACTATTTAAACCACACAGCTTTGTGTTCGCATCAATTTAAATTCTTTTAACTACTCAATATTTTGGGTAAAAGAAGTCTCTTAAAGATCCCAAAATCCATCTTTTAAATGAGTTACTCAAAATTCCAACAGACTTCAGCTCCTTCAGAAGACTCGAGACACTGCCCTTTGTGACTCCTGAAATATATAAGGGAGGCAGAGAAAGGAGTCAATTGCAAAGGGAAAAAAAATAAAAGCAACCCAGTATTTCCTTTCTCCCCTTGCTTTCAAATGAAAGTGTTTCAGGCCTTTTTTACCTGTCACAGCAAATAAGACAGGGTAGTATATGAATATTTTGTTTTGAAAGTGCTTGAGGAACACATGGGAAATATTTATTGTATTTCATCACTGTCTCAGGATCGAAGTAGCCTTTTAGAGGAGCTGGTTGAAACTGAGCTTTTCAGGAGAGCTGGTGCTATATGCTGCCTTATATGCTTTTGAAAGAATTTCCAAATTCCTTGTGTGACTAAATTAGCTTGTGCAGGTAAGAGAGAAGCTTTTAAGTATATATTCTTACCTCTGTGCTCTCATGGTGTTAGGACTTGGAGAATCTACTTTCCCACACCTTTATGGCCAGCTCCCTGATGTTAGCACAGGCAGTCCCCTTCGGCAGAGACATCATGACTGTCTGTATTTGCTTTATTAAGCTTGGCAATGGTGTTGCAACTGGCACTAATTGGCATTTTTGCTGGCAGCCTTCACCAAGAGATGGAGAACTGAATGGACTGTGGAGCCTGCAGTCCACTGTGCTCCAAAGGCAGCAGAGGAGAAGACATGCTGACAATTCAGTCTGAGGGAAGCTGATGCCACTATAGCTTGGTCTATAAACAAAAACTTCTGTTTCCAAAGCTGAGAAGCCCCAGCTTTTTTCCAAGCTGTGAGTCTGTTTGAAAAACAAGCCTGGATCCAGTTTAGTGAGTGATCTGTGGTAGTCATGGGTGTAGTTTGCCCACAAGTTCCTCTCAACCTCTCCAGGTTAAGCATCCCAGAGACATCAGTGGCCCACACATAGTGAGGTCTGTCAGTGATCTTCAGCAGAGTGGCCCCAGCATGGACTCAGAAATAGGCTTGACTTCTGTCCTAAAATAACAGGAGGGGCACAGCAGTTAGCTGACTTTGGACTCATCACAGAATATTGAGGGGACCTTTTCTGTCTGCTGAAGTGAATTACCTAAGAACTGGTGGGAGGGCTGTAGGGAATCACAGGAGCAGCTGTGGCCTTGAATTGTTTTGTGAAGGGCCCATTTTAAGGTGTAGGATGTCCTGGCCCAGCCTGTCATGGTTTTCCAATGTGTAATTATGGTCACAGCTTGGGAGCTGGAGCATCTTCTAGTGCCCAGTTCAACTAACCAACACCCCACTGCTAAATCTCATTATGTCTTTGTCAGCAAGGCTGAAAAGCCTTTCCTCCCACCCCCAGCTCTGTCTCATCCCTCACCTCAAGACATTTTTCCATATGCAAGTTAGACCTGACTTATTTTTTTTCATCTGTTTTGGAAGATGTTACTACAGCATTATTACAGAAGCAGTGGGGAAAGTGTACTCAAATAAAAAATGTATAGATTCTAAATAGATTTTAATATTGTTTTTTATTAAGTGGCTAAGCAGTGGATTAGTTCTTTGGTTTTCTGTATTTTTATTACCAACAAGGTAGCTGAAGGTAGCTGTTAGTGGTGTTCTGTGCTTTCTAGCAAGGGACCTACATTTACCATGGTAATTAGTTTCAGCACCTATCAGCTTGGTTTCTTGGGGAAAAAGGAACATTTGCTCTTCTAGGAAACATTTTCAGTGCCATCAGTCTAAGAATAGCAATCTTCTTTCTGCTGCATCTCAAATTGCAGAAGTATAGCTTATATTTTATTGTGCGTGCAGAATGGAGATTATTTTAGATGAAATACCACTCAGTTCTGCTGAAGCATGAACAAACAGCTTATGGTGCCTCATTCTCTGGGTTGTTTTTTTTCTCTCTAGCCAAAATTAATTAATGAATAAAGAAATTTGTGTCTTGAACATCACCTCTTCTCTCTGAGCACATCAGTTGAGGACCCCAAAGGGAACAACAGTGCTGAAATAGTTCAAGTGGCAAACAACTCCCTGGCTGCAAATTTAAGCACTGAAACAAAACCCTGCAGTTTCACTGACAAGCTCCAGCAGCAGAGGCGAAGCTGCAGCTCTGTGGCCTAGGAGATGTCTGTCATCACAAGGCTGGTGGAGCTGGCGCAGCTCATTCCCTGCAGAGCAGGCAGGGGCAGTGCCAGCTTTACAGGGACATGAGCAGCCTGACTGCCCACAATGCTGCAGAGTAAAAGTTGCAGAGCTGTACCCTTTGCTCAGGACTCAAGTGTTGGAGACAGGACATTACCCCTAAAGGATTTTTAAAATCTGGAGCAGCTGTTCAGTGTACCTTGGAGCATCTCACCAAAAAGCCCTGCACCAAGGTGCTGGGCCACTGCCATACCTACAGAAATCCCTCTGCATAGCTGCAGGCAGGAGGAGGAGGAGGATGCTGTCCCTTCTGCTCCACACTTCCCTCCTCACTCTGTGGCAACCACAGAGAGGCTGCAGGGTCCACTCTTGCCCAGGACACTGTGTGTACTCCTCCTCTCCTCTGCCTGACAACAAGCACCTGGGCTTTCCAGAAGGAACAGAGAAAACTTTGCAAGGAAACCAAATCTTCTCTATGTGTTATTTTAAAATCTATTTTGTTCAGCTGCATGCCAGGCATGTTTAAGGAACTTTTAATAGTATCTGGCTTCACATTGGTCTTGTGTACAAGATGAGGAAGTTTTCATCTGTGCCTTTAAAAAAGGAACGCACATCTCTGCCAAGATGCATTAGGAGAGCTGTAAAAAAGGAGTCATCTTGTTCCAGGAGTACAAGGCTTATGTAACAGGGAAATCCTAACGAAGAGATACTCCCCCACCCTGCACACACTTGTCCAAGGCACATGTCACTTCAGGCTTTTCAGTTGTTCACTTTGCATTTTGATCACATCTGCTGCTGTTTATTTAGATGTATTTACAAAGATATTCTCCCACGTACCCTCGTTCGTACACGCCATAGAATGTTTTTATAAAATGCAGTGCGGACCTCACCTCACCACAGGGATCTTTAAATAAAATGCATTGTAAAGTGCCAGATACAATTCTTTTTAAAAATACAGTTCTAATTAAAACAGATGCTTGGCCACCACATCAGCAGCTTCGTATACCAATGCATTTTTAGCACATCAGTCTGTTGCTGTCAGGTGAGCGGGAGGCTCCCAGACCACCCCTCTAGCTCTCCAGTTTCAAGTCCAAAGGCTTTAGAAAATGAGGCAGAGGCAGATCATCCAGAGCCTCTGGGAAATGCTCAGGTGAAATGGTCCTGATCAAGACCCGCATGGCTCCGACGAACAGAGACGGGGGAGCTAAGCCCACCAGGCACTGGAACCTGCTCTCCCCCAGGAGTTCCTGCCACCGCTGCCGGTTGTCCAACAGTTGCTGCTTCATGGCAAACTGGAGGTCCTGAGGCACGAAGAAGAAGAGGCAGTCGAGGCAGAGGAGCTTGGCACGCATGTTGGCCGCCGGCGCCTGGGCGATCTGCTGCAGCAGGGTGTCGAGCGGGGTGCTGCCCGCGCCGTCCCGCGGGCAGGGCGCGGCGCCGTGCCCCAGCAGCAGCAGCAGGCACTCGGGCCGCACCAGTTCGCAGGCCACATGCAGGGCCGTCTTGCCGCCCTCCACGCGGCTGCCGCCCC